ATGGCACCTAACAACAACAACAACATAAAGGAAATGGCTCAAATTGTAGAGGTGGGAGAGTCCCAAGTCTGGGACAGCTAAGCCAAGATCAGCAGGTAGGCCCATCAGGCAGACGGGCATATTGGAGTCTCAAGTCCAGCTCAGGTAAACAAAGACCAGCAGATGGACCCAGCAGGCAGACAGGCAGACAAACAATAGAGCAAGCCACTGGCTCAGTTTCAAAGAACTGGAGGTCGGATGATAACCCAGATGCAAGATCCAGATCCAGCAGTGTGTCCGTTATAATGGGAGCAGTCAAACCCCCAAGGCAACATCTTTTCAATTGATTGGCTGCTCATAGCCAATCATCATAGAGTTAACTATGCTTGTATTAGGTTTCCCCATGGGGATAAATACATCTCAAATGCCAAACCATTGGGAAACCTGACTGTCATAGCACATCCACCAAGGGGATTGGATCATTTTTCAAATGCAAAGAAGGTATATGGAATCCTTGTAGGGGATTGGTTAGTTTATGGGCTTTTAAGGGGAGACTCTTGAGATTGATAAAGAGCTTGCTATATAACCAGCTTCCTTGACTGAGGTTTTAGGAAGAGACACAGAGAGGAAGAAGGGACTGTAACATTGAAGACCACATGAGACCATGAGAGCTGGCATGGCAGGATGGCAAAAGCAGCCGCCGCAGCATGAGGGGTAAGAATCATGAGACTGGTTCATGACAGCTCTGGTGGGCTTCCTGGCCCACAGAGCGAGGCAGAAGCAAGCCCAACAGGTCCTGGGGGTGGAAGACCAAGAGAAAGGTGTCCTGATCACAGAACTGCATCCTGAGTGGTTCCTTTCAAATTAATCCCGATCCTGCCACTTCGCTCATAAACCCCAAAATCGTCCGTATGTTCTACGAGTTCTGTTTGACCACTGCAATGGATTGTTGTTGTTGTTAAGTGCTGTCGAGTCGGTTCCGACCCATAGCGACCCTGTACAGGGTTTCCGAGGGTGTAAATCTTTACGGGAGTAGAAAGCCTCATCTTTCTCCCGCGGAGCGGCTGGTAGTTTCGAACTGCTGACCTTAAGGTTCACAGCCCGATTCGTAACCACTACGCTACTGCAATGGATAATCAAGTCTAATATAGAAGTAGAGACTTCTGGGGAAGATAAGACTGGTGTCAGAATTGGTAAAATTGGAGAGTGGGGGTATGTCGTCTACCTTACAAGACTCAACTGTGGATTGATGTGATCTTGATTTCAATTTGCTGTTCAGAGGAGATTAGAGGAAGTCTGATGTGATGCCATTTCTTAACACACGTGATATAGTTGGGGCAAATCATTTAGTCATAGGACGATACTGTCTTTGCTTATTTTATTATTTTATGTCTTCTATGTAAAG